GGAAGTACGTGTATCAGACAAAGAGAACACTCTCAGTGGAACCAACTTATCTAGGCTGGAGCTTAGGAATACAGATATAAGGCATTCTGTGTGATTGTATGACTGCGAGTTTTCTGTATGGGAAAGTGAAAAACGTGAGAATGAATGTATGGAATGGAAGCGAATTGAGTATCTAGGGTAAGTGACGTTTACTGGACTATTTGGATTACGAGGAATTATGGTAAGTGATTTTAATTTAATCTTACGCTGTTTATTTTATGATATTTTTCAGCTGCATTGGCCGGATTAGCGCTGGCACTCTGCCTCCCGGACGTTTATACGTGTGTGATTGGTTCGCTTGCATAAAAAAGTGTTTTCGAACAAAATTGTTTTGTGTCCTGGGCACGATAATTTGATTTGAACGGCGCTGATCTATTGTTAGGGGTTTACTATGTGCATTGCTTTGGTGCACAGAGTGACTAGAAAAAGAAAAGTCGCGTCTTGGGCTGCGCCCTGAGTGGACGCGACGCGACCAATTGAAGAGAATCTTATTATTTTTTTTTAGTAACGTCGTGTAAGAGTAGAATTTAATGAGGGAATGGGTGCTTTTTCGTGGCGTTTTTGTTTCCAGGTGTGGAGGATCGTTGGTGGTAGAGGCTTGTTCTTGTGTGGGGGGCGCTGCCGTGGAGTTTGAGTTTGAATTGATCCCGAGTCCTATTATATTATTGTTATATATTCAATGATAAATATTTAAAACAGGAGCAAAACAAACTGGAAGAAGCAAAGTGACATTGTTTGATTTTCTCTAATGTATGCATACCGTTTACAGTGCAATTAACCATTCTATTTTTCCTTTCCAGGAGACAAAACTACATTACTTGTTGATATATTTATGTGTATACTTGTAAATAATTATTTAATCAGATTCGGAATATGAGTGATGAGGGAACTTATTGTGTTCACGAGTCCTCCGTTTAGGCTGGATTTATTGATTTAAATCTTTAAGTATATTCTCAGCTCTTCGATGATGGAACATTTTTAAATTAATATTATAATGATTCACTTTTATCAGCCTTCGTTCAGGAAAATACAAAAACATTGTAATGCATGAGTACAATTGCATGAAAACTGTTAACTGTCCAAATAACCTCTATATTTCTGACTATTGATTCTTTATTAAAGTTTACCAATATTTTTAAAAGCATTCCATATTGCGTTAAACCATTCCATGGTGCATAATAAAGAGTTTGTTCAATTCCAATAAAATATCAAAAATTGTAATCAGTTAAATGTACTGTGGTTAACTTAAATCGAGCTTATGTGTATTTTGTAATACTTGTTTATTTGACATTCATTATATTTTATATATTGCATGACTAGTAAATTATTTTTATTTCACATATTTAAAATCTCATTATATCATATATCAGTTGTCCTGCAGATACTGATGGACCAGAAGGTGTATCAAATAGCAAATCATTGTTATTTATATTTTATTTTATTATTATATAATATGATCTATGGTTTTCAGAATTTGGACTACCCAGAGAATAAATTGAATATCATCATACATTAGGCCAATGTTTTTAATTTGTTTTACTGTTGCAGAATTTTGCTCTTTCAAGAATTATTCATTGATACTTTTTTTTTATAAATCATGTATGCTCAAATATCTTCGATTATGTAGCAAATTGATTCTTTATTTAAATTGTGGATTCATTAAATATGTAAAGTTGAGTTCAATCATACCACGACCAATGATTTATAAATAACAAAACTTGTTTTTTTTTTCATATTTTGCATTTCACTACATATATTATATAAATTAAACATTGCATGATACACTATTACTATTAGCTTAATATTTCAGTTACCCAACCAAGTCATCTAAATTAATATGAAGCTGATGAAGCAGAGGAAATAACAACATTAAATAAGATTATATTTTTCGTCTGTTAGTTATTCATTACAATTCTTAGCATTATTGTTAGTACCATTCGAGCAAAATATATTTAATTGCCTTATATATCCTATACATTTCAGTGCTGCATCCACCTGCCATTGTGAGCTGAGGAGGTATAGAGCTGCATCTTATTATATGTAAAATACTTCTTCATTGCAGTAGCAACTATATTATCCATGTAAATGTATTTCATTATATCATATTTTAATATTCTGATATATTTCATTTCTCCATTGCATATATTTTCATTATATAAATAAATACTGGGTTGGGAGGGAGCATCAGGGTATCATTCAAACTGAAACTGGACGATGGTATGATTAACAGCCGGAGTCTAGGAGGGAATAAACACTATCATTTTCTTTATCCTACCGATTCGATTGTGGTGGTGTGAATTCTACTCCAACAGTTTCAGGGCGATTGACGCGCCCTTCTTAACAAACCATCCAGTAGGAAGCTTAATAAGTATTGCGAATTGTGTTATTCGATTTGTTGGAGCGTATCGTTGGAAGGAGATTCTTAAATTCCCGTGGATTTCGCGTAAGTGTCTCTGCTTACGGGTCCACCCCTCCGTTTTTGGCCCTTCATACAGCGATATAGTGAATTCATATCGGTAGCTCAAATTGATCTTGCTATTAAGTGGAGCTGCATACAAGACAAGTCTTGAAAGGATGGTGGCTACCTTACATACATACATACATACAACGCTTAGCCTAATTTAAGCATTGTTTACCATGCTCGAAACAGGTTTCTAGAGTTGCACAGCAGTAAGGAATTTAATGCCTAACGTCCATTATGCCTAACGTATATTATGCCTAACGTCCATTATGCCTAATGACTTTATGCCTAAAGTCCATTATGCCTAACGTCCGTATGCCTAACGTCCGTATGCCTAAAGTATTTATGCCTAATGGGGTACACTCAATTGAGATAGATCGAAGTTGATCTGGAACTCCTAGAATAGCCTGTTTCATGGAGAGATCATAGTCAATGGGGGAACTGTAGTTAGTACAGCATACACGAGGGGGGTTATAGCACGGAAGGCTTATATCCGATGACATATAATTAAGATAGATTCGGACAAATCTAGACTGGCAGCTCAATTCGAGCATTTCTCTCAAGTTTTCAATCGCAAGGTTGTTACTGACACTACATTTAATCAATATTCTTAATGAGAGCTCCCAGAAACGGTTCTGCATGAGTTTCACGCCCGCTTGAACCTCTAGGCTCATATTGTATGTTGAATGCATACAGCCAACGGCAATACGTAATCAACGATATTGAATGCGTTCCAATTTAATTAGGTGGCTTTTTCTTGCCGAGAGGAAGCAAAAAGAGCCATACTCAAGAACTGAAAGAATAGTCGTTTTGTATAGTTTAATGAAGTCTTCCGGGTAAGCACCCCACCATGTCCCTGAAATTGATCGTAGAAAGTTGATCCTTTGTTGACACTGTTCGTGCAAGCGACATTTACCGCCTTGACCCTAAGTAGATTATATCAACCTTATCAATACCACCACTTGTTCTTACTGTTTCTCTGTAATGTGCTGTTTCTGAATTACGAATGCAATAAATATAACACAGTATCATCTGCCTCTGCCATGACAGGACGGTCGGAATCATTATAGTCTTTTATTTATCAAATCAAAACGTAGGAAAGGGTCCTGACCGTGCGCGATCAGACACTTTAGTTTCAAATACGTAATGTGGGTACCCTAAGTGCATTTTGAATCAATCCAGACTCCAAGGTATTTGAAGGTTAAAAATTGGGTAATGTCTCTGCCCCAAAGATTTAGACGCAGTTGGGCTGGAAACCGCTTCCTTGTAAACACTACCAATTCAGTTTTTTTGCGGGGAAAACTCGATCCCCAAATTTCTGGCCCTAGGCGAACCAGCCCAAGGCTGAAAGCTTCCCTAATAAAGATAAATAATAATAATTTCTGGCCCAGGAGGACAGATTATCTAGGGAATTTTGCTATGGTCTTTGTAAGAAAAAAAAACCACGGCATCGTCTGCAAGATGTCTAAGCGTGCATCGATTATCTAAGCAGTTATCAATATCTTTGACATATAAATTATAAAGTAAGGGACTTAAACATGAACCTCGGGGTAAGCCCAACATCAATAAATGACGTAGCATATGTTTGACCCCCCTCCACCCTCGTAGCGTATTTTTCAATGCCTAATGCATTGCTGGCCACAACATCTAGGATCCCTTCCCCTCCCCCTAAAATACTGCGTCATTTATGAATGTTCCCTTATAATAATTGTACAGCGCATTTTGCACCATTTTAGACTCCTGTAAAAAAAAATGAGTACTCAGTTATGTTTTCGCACAGGCCAGAAAAAAAAATCGGCTTATCTGAGAAACAGTAGCAGCTTTAAGGTTATTGGCAAGCTACCCGAGCTCTATAGAACTTGTTTGAAGTTATGTATTTTAATGTTATTACTAGTGCGAAAGTATTACTGTGTGCTTATTTTCAGTGCAGGAGTCTACTGCCCTTTTCAGCATAGTTTGTTGTCCCATTCGCAAGCTGAGAAAAACGCTGTTTTATTTCTCCGTGGGCTCTTATGGATGGGACAACATAGTTTTGTTATTTTTCGGAATATTTTCTGAACAAAGTATGAAACTTTTCGTGTACATTGTAAAGTGATGGTACTTGACAATCGATTCCAATGTATAACTCATTGTCGCCAAAAATGCTAATGGAACTGTTATGCCGCACAGGCAGTCTAATGAGGTGCGAAATCTGCAATATTGTATGGCATGCAATATATATAAGCTGCAGCTTCCGTCATGCCGTGTCTTTACGGACCAAGCCATCAAAGTATCAAGAGACCCAATTGAACATGAATTTTCTCAATAAAGAAATGAAAAACGAAACTCACCTTACATACCTATAAAATAGCATATTTTTAGTTCCAAATTTCACAAAGAGCGTAAACGATTACAGTTAGGTAAGGATACCGATCCAAACTTTTCAAATCTTCAAAAAAAACCTAATAGGACCGACCTTTGTTGGAAGAATCTGCCCGGTGATATTTTTTCGAAAAAAATGAAACAGATAGATTTTATAGATTGACAATTCATTGGCATCCTTACCCTGTCACCGGGAGAAACTCCTCATTCCCGATTCTTCGCGTATGGTGACAAACAATAATTGTAAGTGGGAAAAACAGATCCTTACTTAAATACGATCGTATCCAACATTGCTCCCAGGCACTGAACAATGTTGTTCGACATCAGCGTGTCGACCTTCTCCTCCAGATGTCTCTTCGGGTCCTGTTTGCCAACATTCTTGATCGCCAACTGTTCCGGTGTCATCTTCTCTTCATCTTCCAGGGCCTGCAAAACATGAATTGCTAAACGTACATTTAAAAAGAAAATTTCGTGTGATATGCACCTTATTGTAATTCTTAGCTAACTCCAACATTTCGCTGATGGTGCTCTCGTTTATACTGCAATGTTCCTGATAGTTGGCCAAAGTCAGACCATCCATCCAAGACTTTTTATGTAGATTCAGCAGCATTTTCTGCTCCAGCTCGTTCTTCCTATAGTTAATGCTGATTGAATAGTAGTGACGGTTCAGACCATGGATCAGAGCCTGCACTGAGGGCTTTTGCAAATGACCCAAATTTGAGGTCGTTTGTCTTGGTTCCTGTCCGAGAACCAACATGTTAGGGTTAATCAATCGGAAGGCATCAATCACCACTTTTCCTTTCACCGACTGGATCGGGTCGACTACAACGGCCACCGCACGTTCCGATAGAGCTTCGAACGACTGCTGGGTGTTGATATCGACACCGGAGAGCCAGCAGCCGAACCCTGGATGAGAATGGTACCAACCGACGACCATTTCCGGCCGACCCGTTTGCTTTAACATATCCAACATCTTTGCCTGGAACACCGGATCGACGGCTTCGACGGAAACACCCGTACCGGTTTGTGGCATAGCGAAAACATCAATCACCTGGACTGTGTAGTCGTCCACGAACTCTCCTGTGAATTCGAAGAAAAAAACGCATTATTACAATTATACCTAGGTACTCAAGAAACAAAGAACCATCAACTACTCACCCAGCATCAGACCCATAACCTCCATTGGAACACCAGCTCGTCCGTGCTTCAGCATCTTCAACAGGGCCAGCGAGGAAATGTAGACCTGTTCGGCGGTATCCACAACCGGAGCATCCGTCGGTGGCGGAGCTTGAGTCAAACCGGGCATAGCGCCACCAAGTCGAAGAAGACGATCCATGTTTTCGGGGAGTAAAACAGTGTACTTCTTTACTTTAACTGATTGCAAATAAGTATGCTATAAATTCACACACGTAGTTGACTAAATGTTGCAGATTATTCTGTAAGAAAGCTGACTTTGTTCATTGAAAATATCCGCCGAAACCTTCACAGAAATCCAAACCTGCAAACGATGATGATGACTTTGGCGTTTTTCCTTGTTGCTGTTCCGCACTGTTTGACAGTTTGACAGATCGGTGTGAATGTGCAAGTAAGCGAGTGAAGTTGGCTGCGGTGCGGTCAGGTATTACACCGCCACCGGCCGAGGGAAAAGACATCGGTAAATTAAAAATTGTGCACACATTCTGGATCAACAATAGAAAAGAGTCCATCAGCATTTGAAAACAAACCGTCCCAAAGTCCTTTACTCACAAAGCGAAGGCCACCCAGGTGTGGTAGATAGAGTTGGTGTGGAATAATAATAATGAAATAAATAAAAACTTGAGAGGTGAGTCAAGTAATGAAACACTCAATTTGAGTTAAACTAAATTAGAGTGGAGCGTGGCAGAAGTGATAATAGAGAGATGCGAACAAAATCTCATGCTTAGTGAGGGGAAATTCTGACACAGCACGGAGGTATAAAAACGAGCTACCTAAGCTCGTAGAGGTCATTCTTGTAACTAACTTTGGAAGCAACGGAGACCAAACAGCAGCAGTAGCAGCAGCAGCAGGAGCATCAGCAGCAGGAGCATCAGCAGCAAGAGCAGCAGCAGTACTGGAAGCAGATCAGTCGAGATTCGTGTAGCCGTGACCGAGGCTGGAAACCTCGGTCCGGTCACGACACCAGGCACAATACCATCATCGGATAGGGGAAACTTGTACCTACACGATGATGGTGTTGGTTTGTGTGAGCGGCCTTCGATTTGTGAGGAATGGCCTTTGTAACGGTTTGTTTACAAATGCTGATGGGCCCTTTTCTATTGTTGATCAAGCCATTATTTTGAGGTTTCTCACACTGATAAATTAAATTATTCCCATTTTGCTTGAAGCTTAATCAATTTGACATTAAATTCAGTTTAATCATATAGAATGATTAAAAATAAATACTCTCTTTCTAAAAATAATCATCTCATTCTAAAAACAGTTTAATCATTAAATTTTTTTTTTTTGAATAAAGTTTAAACATTGGTTCGCAGACGATGAAGAATCAATTAATGACTATTTCCTGCACGCAGAAAAATTGATTTTTGTTTCAGGGCTTAACGTCTTTTGTTATTGATTCTAACATATTGTATCACTATTTCAACAAAACATATTTTTGAATCAACAAAATGGTTTTTAGAATCAACAAACAGAGTATTGACCTACACTCAAAAAATTTATCACATATCTAATGGATGAAAACCATGTGAATTTCACATAGCTTTCATGTGATCACATAGCTGAAAATCTCACCACAAATCACATAAATATTATGAGGCCAATGAAATTCATATGAAAAATCATATAAAATTAACATGATCGCATAAATGTTATGTGAAATTCAGATGAATTCCATTAATTTTGTTTATGGATGAAAATCATTTGCGATTCCAATGGAAGCTACATGTAAACTATTTTCGGTGTAGGGGAAGGACAGCTCCAAGTATCAGTATCAATACCGATGGTGGAAATATTAAATATTTTAATATGTGTGATATTTGAGAATCTTATACTTAGTCTGACAGTTGTTTTTGTTTGTTTTTGACTATTTTGGTTTTAAGTGTACATTTGACATTCGTTTAATCAAAAATGTATTTCACACGAGAGGCAAGTCATTCCTTTGTGATCTTGCTGGCCACCACCAATCCGCTCCTTGTTCTCATAAATTTGGCATTATTTGGTAGCTGTTCTCAGTGCACATAATCGGCCGCACTTCTATTCGCAGGAATTAATTTCCACGAATTTTTCATCGTCTGCGAACCAATGTGCTGTTCTCCAATGGAACGGGAGTCGATTGACAACGCCGCCCCTGTTAACGGAATCCCAGAGTCATGGTTCCGTGGTCGTACACACAAAAAATAATCGTTGCTAAAATTAAAAAATCCGTTGGTAGAATTAAAAGTTTGCGTTGGTTCTTTTTGGTAGAAAGCGGTTAGCTTTCAAAACAAAAGTCAGCAAGCTGTCAAATCAAAAGTAGTCACCTCACTACTTTAAAAAGTTTAAGCTTTCAAAATGAATTGTACTACTGTCAAATGAAAAGCATGACAGTGTTGAAATAAAATTGGATTATTGTTGTTTCGAAACAAGCTTTTGTCAAGAAACTTTAGTATAGTTAAAATGAAATGAGCTATTATTATCGATCCAAATAAAATCATTTTCAACATAACAATATTATTTTTATTTTTATTGGAGCATAGCGAAAGGTTTCCGTTCGGCTTCCACATTACGTTTAGCTATAGGCAAATCCGGGCTGTTCGCTTGTTAAAACAGCTCCTTCCTTTGATCCGGACACTGAAGACGCGATCGCGGATGGGATTTTCATCTCGTCTATAGGGATAATTTCACCTGGAGGAAAAACATCGTTTAGCTATTTGGTACGGGATTTGCTAGTCATAAATACTAACCTTTCATAGCTGATTTAATACTCGATTCGCCTTCGCGGTTTTACATTCTCTCTGTCATACAAATGGCTTGTTTAACTCCGATGGTGGCTAGAAGTAGCATAGGGAGAAAACAAATTCCGTTGCGGTGTAGTCATCCAAACCACCAAATAGCAACTATGCGGACTACACAGCAAAAAAAAATGTAATATCGATCAACGTAATTCAAGCTGATGTATGAAATAATGATGTAATAGCAAAAAACAGATACAATATTACATCAATGGATGTAATTTTGTTCGAAAAATCGATGTACATCGTACAATGTAATATTACACAACCGATGGATTGACCTGGTTGCATCAGTTTGGATGTAATATTCAACAACTTTTTTTGCTGTGTATGTAGATCGCGATCCTGGCCGGAGGAGAACTCCCTTCAACCTGACGACCGACTCGACATTTAGATAGGAGATCCGGATTAACGTTTGGCGAATGGAATTTATGGAAGAGGTATAATCATAACCTGAAATCGGGCAGAACAAGAATATAATAAAATTTATTCATTTGGATAACAAACATCTCATTAAAATTTTACTTACCTGCCTAAAGGTAAACAGGAACAATAACAATCTGTAGTTATTGTATTGAAACATTACCAACATTGGAAATGGTAACAAAAATGCGAGATTTTTGGGGTTTATTATTTAATTTTCACTAGCGGTCAGATTGGCATAAAGACTGTAAATGAGCCGGCTCAGTTCAGTGCTGCCAGTAAGTCGCTACGAAGAGGTATTTTTGACAGTTTAACAACTTTTCTTTTAAAAAGTGTACTTTCAACATTAACAAGTTGAAGGCGAAAGAAACACTTTTAAATCAAAAGCATTACTTTGGTTTTTAATGTTTTCATAGTTGAAATTACGAATTTTGGGAAACTTTCAATTTAAGAATGCATTATTTTTATTAAAACTATATTTGTTCTTTGTGTGTATTACGCTCGATTCGCCATGAGCATACAACTTGGAGAAATTTGTTGCTGGGGGAACGTCCAGTACCGTTTTTATCATGAAAAACCGAAGTCGAAATCGATCAGAGCTATCGAAAACGAAAATCTAGGCAAAAATTATGACAAACAGAAAGCTGAAGTAAACATAAACAACAACGGTGCAACGTCATTGAGTGTATGCGTTAAAGTTACACTGTTATTTTTTTTTTACTTTGAAGCTTTCCGCTTGACGGTTAATATCATTAATATTTATACTAAAAATTATAATAAATACCAATTTGAGCAATTTTTATCTCAAATATTACTTCAGATCAAGTTGTACTTCCCCTAGGGGAAGGACAGCTCCAAGTATCAGCATCAATACCGATGGTGGAAATATTAAATATTCTAATATGTGTAATATTTGCGAATCTTATACTTCGTCTGACAGCTGTTTTTTTTTTGTTTTTGGCTATTTTTGGTTTTAAGTGTACATTTGTCATTCGTTTAATCAAAAATGAATTTCACACATGATCTTGCTGGCCACCGCCACCAAAATCCGCTCCTTTTCTAATAAATTCGGCATTAGCGGCGCCGGTGGTGTAGTGGTAAGCGTGATTACCTCTCACCCCAGTAGGCCTGGGTTCAATCCCAGTCGGCTCCACCGGGATGTTCTGAGGCATAACATCTCTGATCACGCCTTCCTTCGGAAGGGAAGTAAAGCCGTTGGTCCCCGGTTCATGAGTTGATGGGTCGATAGGTAGGGTTCAGGTGTTGAAGCTGCCTCCCTGGCGTCGGTAGCATTGGTGCTCAGCACGGAAAACAAGATCGACGGAAAACAAATCAAAGGAAAAAAATAAATTCGGCATTATTTGGTAGCTGATCTCAGTGCACATAATCGGCCGCACTTCCGATCCCACACGCAGAGAAATGATTTTTAAATTCAAATGGATATATTTTTGGCTCAGGGCCTAATATATTTTTGGTATTGATTCAAATATATTATTCGGCTAATTCAAAGAAAAATATTTTTGAATCAGCAAACCGGTTGTAGAGTCAATACCTAGATATTAATGCCCTTTCTTTGGAGATTCTTTTGCGATTGGGTGAAATCTATAAAAAAAACAACATTGTAATAAAATATGTTTGGGATAAAAAGAGAGATTTCAAAAGCTGTTTGTTTGTTTTCTATATTTTACTACCACATACAAGAAGTTTCACCTTAGGCTGCTGATACAACTGCCACTTTGGAGCTCTCTCCAAGATTTTATAGGCGTGCATTAGGGTAAACGGGCCTTTTCCGGCAGCACTGATAAATGTCACAGCTTTCTTATATACGTCAACAGGTGCTCCCCTTTCCTCGCGTCTCGAAACTTGCACGAGGCATCCAACAAATTTACTGTAGGCTTTACTTATATGAAGTCACCTAGCTTTAATGCCACTTGCCGCTCGTAACTCTGGGTTACAGTTTGAATTTGAAATAGTGCAAGTTTCCACGAACAGATCGTAAACTCGATCATACAGCGTATCCATGCTTTGGTTGGTTCCTGTAGCCCCGTCCTGGGATATGTTTAACCAGGCAAGACAAAGGGACTCATCTTCCTCTACGGTCCATTTTTTTCCGCGTACCTTTGCACTCATGATTGTTCTACAAATTATTTATATGAAACAAAATATCAGCAGCTGAATTCCGGCACACAATTTTTTCGAAGAAAAGAAAATTATCACATTGAATCTCAATGAACCAAATCTCTTCTCTTTGAAGAAACTGTGTGCGGAATTCAGCTGCAGATTTATCAATAAAAAATATCCTATTTAGGTCTTAGTTCCTGGTCATGTATTCCATAGAATTAAGAAATAGGTTTAAGATAATTCTAGAGCAATCGTACGGAACAAATTTAGTGTAATATAAACTATTAATTAATAAAAATTAAATTAGCACTTCATTTCACTCAACTTTACCAAATAAAAAAATAGTCACGCTAATCAAAACAACTTGATTGTAAATTGCGACCAACAACAAATCAGCAAATCGACTAAAAAATGACAGTTCATCAAATAGCCACTTTTCCAGCGTTGCAAGCGAATTGCTATATTTATGTTCGCCTTGCTTTTCTATAGTTCCGCTTCTACTTTAGCAGCTCGATTTGCACACCCGGTGTGTGACTTGCGTGATATACGCTGTAATGTGAACGGGGTATAAAATAACTTTACTAGCGCATTGGTGCGGGTGCTCTTAGAAGGAGAAAAGGAGACAAACCAATCAAAAGTAGGTAAAAGTGAACTGGCCGTTGGGCACTTTTTTCATACGTTAGGATCGACCAACCCGGTGAGTAAGCTGAAGTAAGCGTGTACGGTGTAATATAATAAAAATGACGGTATTAAGTTGCAACCCCCTGAATTCGGTAAAATAACCATTGACACCGAACTTCACCGAACGTCAAGATTTTTGATTGGAAAAGCCGACTGACTGTGAATCCACCAATCAGAACACAGAAACGTGTTTATTTTCGATAATTTCCCATCAAAAACCCGTTTTTTGTGCGACTCACATCAAATCGTTCCAAGTTTCCCATCGAAACGGTGTACACATCACCTTGTTGATTCCACTCCTCAAAGGAGCATATCCGTTCTATTGATAAGACAGTGTGATTTCCAAATAGTGTATAAAAAATGAAGACTGAAACGTTCCACCTCCTCGCTGCCCTGGGGACAATAATGCTGGCAACGATGGCCGCGGGTCAACATCCAGCAGCCCGGCCAATAAACCCGAAGGAGGTCAAATGTCTCGTTTGCAAAGCCACGATGAATGAAATGGAACTGGCCGTATCGAAGATCGACCCCAAGAAGAAGATCGACGTAGGAGACTACCGGATGGATGCGACGGGAGACTCAAAGAAGAAGAAAACCATCCTCTACACCAAATCGGAGATGTATCTGACCGAGCTGATGGAGATGGTGTGCGACCGGATGGATGACTACGCTAAGGCTCGGTACAAGAAGAACGGCCGTCCGGTGGTGCTGAAAATGATGACCGAGACCGGCATGAACCCGGAAATGTCCGAAGTCGACTTTGTCCAGGAGGGTGACCTGAACAAGAGCTTGAAGCATCTCTGTCTGGAAGTTGTGGAAGACCACGAGGAAGAAATTCTGAAGCTATTCCAACAGGAAGACGCTGTAAAGGATACGGACATCCGGTTGTGCTCACAGGTGGCCAACATTTGCAACGAGCAACCGATCGAGGATGATTACGAGTACGAAGGGGAAGATGATCGTGATGAGTTGTAAAACAATCCGGGCCAGTGGAGGAATGCAACAGCCGAGCCAGTGTCGGAGCGGAATACCGATCAAACCCCGTACGGAATAGGTTATTTTTTGATGATACAAAATATGCATTTTCATTGTTGCAATGTTAGGGAAAGCTTGATATTTATAACATATTGGTGGAATAGATGAACTTTTTTTTTTCCGTGAAAATGAATCGTTTCTGAAGCTAAATAGTTTGGGAAATCCCTACATTAATCTTCGTTGGCTCCAATCAAGAAGGCTACTGATAAGATTGTTTCTTACATCACCTCAGCAGTATTGCAGTGCCCGTTCGATTTTGTCAACACGTCACAAATGTCTTTAATTTGCTTGCGCACTGCCATTGACGTTAAACGATGAACTCTCTTAATATTTTTCAAAGTTTTTCCTGATAACGGATCACATCATTCGAGCAGTTTAAAATTACGTTTTCTACTACTAGAACTTTGCCGTGGAAAACATTTTGAAAAATCTAGAGCCTTGATAAAATAGGGTCTTATTTATGCTCAGCAGCCCCAAAACTGCTCGAAAATATGAATAATTGCGAAGCTTTAAACGTGACAAGCTTTGCAACGTTTTTAATTTTTTTGGAAAGCTGATTAGCCTAAAATCGTGTGTAACCAAAATCAAATGGGTACTGTATTCAGCTTGTCGATATGTTTAACATCATTACAGCCAATATACTTGAAAAGTTTCAATTGTTTGATTAAACTTCATTAATTACTTCATTCGAGCAGTCTAACATTGATTTACTAATATTCACACATCGAGAAAATAAATGCTTAGTAACTTCCAGAGAAGTTATTCATAAGAAAATTCTAATGATTGTTGCACAGAAAAAAAGTTGTTGAATATTACATCCAAACAGCTGCACAGAGATCATTCCGCCGGTTATGTGATATTACGTTGTACGATGTACATCGATTTTGCGAACAAAATTACGTCCATTGGTGTAATATTGTATCTGCTTTTTTCTATTACATCATTTTTTCATACATCAGGTTGAATTACGTTGATCGATATTACATTTTTTTTTGCTATGTGGCTCTTTTTTTTTACGCCATACCTACACAGCAAAAAAAAAATGTAATATCGATCAACGTAATTCAAGCTGATGTATGAAAAAATTATGTAATAGAAAAAAACCAGATACAATATTACATCAATGGATGTAATTTTGTTCGCAAAATCGATGTACATCGTACAACGTAATATTACACAACCGACGGAATGATCTCTGTGCAGCTGTTTGGATGTAATATTCAACAACTTTTTTTCTGTGTGTGTAGCTTTCCATGATCGGTAATGGTGGCCTGTTTGTATGAATAAATGTATCCTTCACTGTGCTTGTTATAATGAGTCACTAAAAGCCTAAATTAAGGCGTAAAAGTTCGGAGTTGATGAAAATGATAAATTCAAGCTTATTTAGGTCCTAAATAAGATTGATCGACTTTCTCTATCGTTAATAACTTTGGTACAGAACCGTTTCTTGTCGTGTTTGTCGTTTCATTCGTCGATCTGTGCACTGCAAATAGCTGGGAATATCTTAACATGCCTATAAAGAAACAAAGAGAAAGTCGACGAATAGGATCTGTCAATGCTTCTTAGGACCTAATCCATTGTTCAGCTTGTAATCCAACAATTCGATGCCTGCTGCCAGCATAATATCACAGACAAAAAGAGCTAGCACGTCATTTTGGATCATCGTCCACGCATGTAACGATTGATTTGAATATTATAATTTCCGCGAACCACTCACCGCAGTGGTGGCATCGGATTACTTTGACGTTTCTATATATTCTGCTCAGACAAACAGGCATAGCCCTTTGAACAAGGGGTAATCAACTCTGTATACTGTGCCAAAACACGGTATGCCACACTGATCGGCACTTTAAGACACACACTGACAAGTAGGACACAAACAATATAATACAAAACGGCATCACTGTTAAGTGTTGACTTATCGCTAATCGTTGCTAAGGTTGACTACTTTGTTTACCTCGAAGTGAACTTAGAAAATTATATTTCATACTTGAATCTTGAAACTAGTGAAACAGCGATTTAACCAAGGATTTAAAAATGGAAAACGGATGCCTAACGGGTTCAAGGATCGTTCCTTGAAACAGTTAGAAAAATACTGTAAGTATTCTCTGAACCATGATCACTTCACAGCTAGCAAAACTCAGATCAACTCATCCGATTCACAGCGAAAATCCTAGCGGCTCTCATTCAGAACAGCTTCAATTCGGGCCTCACACCAACCGAGTTCTTCTTCCACACTATGGGCGGACGAGAGGGTTTTATCGATCCGGCAGTCAATACGGCCGAATCGGGTTATCTCCAGCGATTGGCGTTGACGGTGACTCTGTAGCTCTTTACTCTTATGGTAAAATCCATAAGCAAACGTCAGACTGTGCGTGAAACATGGCGGACTTCGTACTATCCTTCAATCTTTTCTATAAGAGTCAATTTTTCGACGGTGCCGTCTACGCCAATTGACGAGTGCACGGATGGATTTGAGTTCATTCACTCGACAAAAAGTGACACAACAGCGGGGCCCTGTTTACTAAAAATGAACACATATATGTTCATTTTTAGTAAACAGGGCCCCGTGTTGTGTCACTTTTTGTCGAGTGAGTGAACTCAAATCCATCCGTGCACTCGTCAATGGTTGGTAAAATGCTTGGTAGATCTGATCGTTTGGACGATGGTACGGTTCAAAATGCGATCGGTGAAATCGTTAAGTTTACCTATGGTGCAGACGGGTTGGGTCTCGTGTCCATGGAAGTCAAAAACAATTTGATAGACATGCAACGTCAGTTTATGCACGTTCGCAATACATATCCCTGTAGGGATGAAAATTCTCTGAACGTAAAGGGTGATACGGTCAAAATTTGGTCAAGGGAAAACGCGTGTAAATCGGTGAAATCGTTTATTTAAAAAATCAAATTAAATTTCTTTTTCAAGTTCAATTAGTATAAAATTCAGGAAAAATATTCAGTTAGGCTTCCGCTTTTCCAAATCCGAATTGCCGGGCCTTACGCTCGACCCCTGCCATCAGATTTTGTACAGCAACCTTGTCCACCTTCTTCGCCGCAGAAAGCCAGTTTGCCTTGAACTGCTGCTCGCCCTTAGCAGTTTTTTGGTCTTCTTAAGGTTCCGCTTGACAATAGCCCAGTATTTCTCAATTGGGCGGAGCTCTGGCGTGTTGGGAGGGTTCTTGTCCTTGGGAACCACCTGCACGTTGTTGGCGGCGTACCACTCCATGGCCTTTTTACCGTAATGGCAAGATGCTAAATCCGGCCAAAACAGTACGGAACAACCGTGTTTCTTCAGGAAAGGCAGCAGACGTTTATTCAAACACTCTTTCACGTAAATTTCTTGGTTGACAGTCCCGGAAGCTATGAAAATGCTGCTTTTCAAGCCACAGGTACAGATGGCTTGCCAAACCAGATATTTCTTTGCGAACTTTGACAGTTTCATGTGCTTGAAAACATCTGCTACCTTTCCCCTTCCTTTTGCCGTATAAAACTCCTGTCCTGGAAGCTGCTTGTAGTCGGCTTTGACGTAGGTTTCGTCGTCCATTACCACGCAGTCAAACTTCGTCAGCATCGTCGTGTACAGCCTCCGGGATCGCGCTTTGGCCGTCGTATTTTGTTTATCATCGCGATTTGGAGTCACTACCTTCTTGTAAGTCGATAGTCCGGCTCGTTTTTTGGCTCGATGCACGGTTGTAGACGATACACCCAGCTTATTTGCGGCATCTCGGAGAGAGAGGTTGGGGTTTCGCTTGAAACTACCGGCAACTCTCTTTGTCGTCTCAGCGGCTTCCGGTTTTCGATTTCCCCCCGATCCAGACTTCCTGGCTGTCGACAAACGTTCCCCAAACACTTTAATTACATTTGTAACAGTTGATTTGGCAACTTTTAGCGATTTTGCCAACTTTGCGTGCGAGTAGCTCGGATTTTCGCGATGCGCGAGCAAAATTTTAATACGCTGCTCTTCTTGCTTGGACGGCATTTTGACAACTGAAGAGTGAATTCCAAAATCAAAATAGGAGTAACATTCTACACACACACACCTTCAAAATGAGGGGTGTTCAGGTTTTTTAAATGCAAAATTGAAAGAAATACGTCAAGTTGATATTGACCAAATTTTGACCGTATCACCCTTTAATACAAATAGTTCCGCCTGTGGAGAAAATTTTGAGGAAGTCTGATCTCGTATCATCGTCAATTGCTCGTACATACAGACTACACTGGGTAATGCTATGGCTATGGAAATTAGAAGCTGGTCAAACCAACCAACCCAGTTTCGCCTGTGCCTGCCCGCCCGTTGCCTTTGGTGATTAAACCGCAAGGAAACACAAACAACATCATGGAATGAAATGGATCCTATATACCGGAATGGAACAGTGTACCGGGGATGGCGGAACACTTATATCACCGACAAACCGACATGAATGATCATACAAATTACAAAGGAATTTCTGCTCAAAGCACAAAACTGACATCTGCTGCCGTGTTCGCGGAAAATGTTTATCCTAGCCATGAACACGCGTACAAAATTTATGAGTTGGTTCGTGTCTAATCTATTTCGGACAAATTATTTTTTTCTAGATAAAACATTTCTATGGTTTTGACAGATGGGATTGCTGCACATTTGAATCGGCCGTTATGGATTCTCGAGCAAGAGTTAAGTTTAAGTTTCATGTCGGTTTGTCGGTGCTTATATTTTGCTGTTATCCGATCTCGAAGCGTACAACGACAAATCAAAGCAGGATCTTCAAGAGTTGAACTACATTTACAGTTTTGTTTCTATATAATAAACAATAAATTAAATAAAGTTTAACACATAAATGGGCACCAGATTCAGATCCCAATCTTGCGCAGGATCTTCCGGAATGGATTTTTATTCATTTCCTTGCTGGGATGACTCTGAGACCACACTGACTAGTCAAAGCGTTGATTTCATGATCTTAGTTTATCTCTCCGTATAAAAAATAAAACAACCGAAGGTATACCGACGGAGCAAGTT